ACATGAGGTGAGGCCAATATTAAGCTCTTTTATCCTCCACCTGAAAGTTTGTGTCAGGGATTTATATGACAGAAAATGTGGCTACTTTGTCTATTCTGAATCTACTAACAATTGTTTTATTTACAATCTAAGTCTACATTTGAAAAATGCTAGAAAATTAATATTACCTAGGTATTCTGATAGACTGGGCTTCGGTCAATGAAAGGTTAAACTTTTTTTTTTTGCTCCAATTAACTAACACAGCTAATCTCTCTAGTATCTAATTTTGTGCTTGTTAAATTTTAGCTTATCAATTAGCACTTCACTTTATCTTGTCATGACCATTAGGCTGCAGTTTTGTATTCTCTTTAGACATTAATGTCTAATCAAGATCTGTTGAATTAAAGGCTGACAGTGAATTTATTAGAATCTCTACAGTCTGTCTACAACCTATGCTTCAGTAATCTTATCCCTTTGCTTGCAATAAGCTACTGTTGCTTTTTTTCTTAACTTTGATGTGTTAAAAGGATTGTCATTGCTTTAATAGTTTTAGCAATGGAATTATTTCTTTGGTTGCTCTGTCAGCAGTACATTCATTTCCCTCCAACCCCCCCTCCCCGCGTTTTTGTTTTATTGTCTTCATTAGGACAAAACTCCTTCCTGGATTTTTAAAAAATAATGCCTCAATTCTCTTTAGGTATCGAAGTGAATAATTTCAATGCTGATTTTACATTTTATTATCGGTTACAAATTTTATGTCTGAGTTATTCTTTGTATGCTTTCAGTAGCAATTGCAATAGCACTTAGACTTATATACTGCTTCATAGTGCTTTACAGCCTTCACTTCAGGGGTGGGATTCTACTGGTTCAGACCGGTTCGGCTGAACCAGATGTTAAAGTTACACCTGACTCGCTGAACCAATATTTCAACTGACTGGCTGGCCCCTCCGAATTCTCCCCGCCCCTCCTAGGAGTTTCCATGCGATGCAGGTAAGTGCAAGGTCCACGTGGAGGCTCTGGGAGGGGGAAAAAACAGACCTTCTGGAAGTCTGGAAACGGGCCTGTTTCTGGCTTCTGGAGGGCCTCCAGAGCCCAGGGGAGGCTGTTTTTGCCCTCCCAGAGGCCCAGGGGTTTTTGAATCCCATCCCTGCTTCACTTTATAGAGTCAGCATATTACCCCCAACAATCTGGGCCCTCATTTTACTGACTTCGGAAGGATGGATGACTGAGTCAATCTGAACTGGTCAGGATCAAACAGGATCCTGGAAATGAGCTGAATAAGCAATACCGTATTCTAACCACTGCACCACTGTGGCTCAAGCAATTTACAATCAAGTAGAAAATGAAGAGGAGAGCCAAGTTAATCTGTGGTAAGGCAAAACACTAGGAACCTGGTAGCACATTTTCTAATACATTTTATTAAAAGGTATAAACATTTCATTAGCTCAGATTTGTACATTGGAAAAGGTACTACTCAATTTCTTTTGATGTTTTGCAACCAAGTAGAAGTGTTTCATCCTCTTTACTTCTGTCTTTGCTCTTTTTCTATTTAAATGTACATTCAAAGCCAGAGAATATTTGTGTAAAAATATGTGTCCATGCAATTATGTTCTCAGTTGTGATGGTGTAGGTATTCTCACAGCCCTTGGAAAAGTTCTTATAGTTGGTCACTGCTTAAAGGCATATGAATGCACATAGACAATGACTTAGTATTAAGGACAGCTTTTACTTCCACTTACTGAAGAACTGATTTTAAAGAGTAAATAATTTTGATGTGACAACTTACTAAGCCAGAAACCAACAACCATTTGGTTGCTCTGTGTTTGCTTGTCATTTATATTTTTATTTTATATTTATATATCACATAAGTTTAATGTGATGTGAAGAGAGCCAGTTTGGTATAGTAGTTAAAGCATCAGGCTAGAAACCAGGAGATCGTGAGTTCTACTCCCATCATAGGCACAAATCGAAATGGATGACTTTGGGCCAGTCTCTTTCTCCCAGCCTAGGAAGGAGGAAGTGTCAATTTTCACTTCTGGAAAATCTTGCCAAGAAAACTGCATGGACTTGCCCAGGCAGTCTCCAAGAACTGGATGATTGTGTTTTTTTTTAAAAAGTTTTTTGTTGAATGCCATCCACATGTTATTTGAGTTGGGCGGCTTTATAAATAAAAATAAATAATGCTGAGAACACTTGAGGCATCAACAGGAAATAAAACATTTTATTGGATATTGGGTAGTATGTATGTTTTATTTAACGACACCTGGAAAACTCTACTGTGGGATTCACTACACAAAAGTGAAACAAAAGATAAACCACCTTCATCAAAACTAAATGTAAAATACAGCTAAACTTGTCTGCTCGTGGGTCACGAGCAGTATGGCAGGATAGAATACCCCAAATGTTTCTACAAGATACAGAGAAAAACCCCACACATAGAAACACTCAAGCAGGCAGTAAATATACACAAAGGCAACTAGGATCTTTCTACAGCATCAGATTCTAATACTTTACACAGCTTTGTCAGGAAGGTACATGTGGCTTCTTTTGAGGATGAAAATGTCATCTTGGTCAAATAGCAGATTTTTCTGCTGAAAATGATGGAACATTACAAACCAATTCCGCAGTGACATTTATTCTGGCAGTGTAAAAAGAGAATCAATTTAGAATACCTTCACACAATGAATCAATTCTGGCAGCTTCAGTTTGAAATTTCTCTCCCATTATGCTGATCAACTAAAAGAAGTTACAGCAGAACTGAACCCTCTGTGTTTAGGCTCACTCTCTTTGGTGAGATTTGGTGGTTGTATATAATTACAACCCTCCTACATATAGTTCAACTTATCTGATTCAATTTTGCCTTTTCCTCTTTGATGTAGAATGGTGTTTCTCAATCTCATCAACTTTAAGATGTATGGACTTCAACTCCCAGAATTCCCCGGACAGCAAGCTTGCTAGCTGGGGAAATCTTGGAATTGAAGTTCATACTTCTTAAAGTTGCTTAGGTTGAAAAACACTGATGTAGACAATAGAAAAAGCACCGGAATCATAAAATGTTGCTCCTTGTGGAAAGCTAAATAGAAACTGGATTAAATTGCCACAATCCATTTGTGGCTTGTGAGTTAAATTCTCTACATTTCATAAGTAACTTGCCAGCTTAGAGCTCAGAAAAAGGAGATCTGTCGTCAAAAAAACATGGCTAGGGATGCTTTTTTTCTTAAAAAAGGAAACTCTATATTTTGAAATTATTTCTGAGGAAATCCCACACTTACTACCAAAAGATTTTTTTAAAATGGGAAGGGGCAGGGGGGGGTGGGGGGGGAATGTCTTCTTGGTTTTTTTTTTTTTGGTGCTTGGTTGTTACTGAAAATAGAACCTGTGTTTCAACATATTAAAATATATTTACAATCTTTTAAATAAATATGCAGCATTTAAATAAATTAATGAAAGGGGTCTCCAAGGAAGAGAGCCCAATTGCAAAAATAATGCCCCGATGCGACACAAGGAAATAATATAAGCTAAAGTGACCATCGGTCTTGTCTGAAGGACAGCCTCTACCATCAACCTGGGGAGAGATGTGGAATATTGCACAGTGTCGACAAAATGCTGTGTTGTCAGTCCGTTCTATATGATGCCTTGTCCTGTGCATAGCTCTTCAGTTCTGAATTGGTCCATAGCTATAAGAACGTCTTGTGCTATGCAATCCTTCGGCAGTGCAGTAGAAGGGAATGGCAGTATTTTTACAATATCACTACAGAATAAATTGATTGCTATCCACTGAGAGAACTACAGTTTCTAAGCACACACGGCAGTCACAGTGATACACAGAGCAGTCTTTTAAGACGCTTATGGAATGACTAATAGCTTCATAATAGTGCCATTTACTACATAGTAACATTGAAAACATTTAAAAACTCCTCCTGAAACGAGCAACTAGTGTACATAAGAGGTTGCTTCAGTTTGCTAGAACTTGTTCTTTGTTTTGTTTCACTTTTTTTAAAGGACAAATTAAAACTTATTAGTATAAATAGTATATAAAAGGTCACTAGCTGTTATCTTTTGGCTTGCTTTGAAGTGCATTCAGAAATATGGCTAATTTTTTGTCCTCTTTTGATGGGATTGTACAATACTGTCTCGTCACCATGAAACTACTTTTGTATAATAAACACACACGGCTGTGATTTTTTTTTTGTTTTGCTTTAAAAAATATTCTGCATTCCTTCTCATCTGGCTTAGTATAATAAAATATTTTGTTACAAAGTCTAATGTGCAAACTCATTAGAATTAGAGAATGTGAGAGCACAAATGGGATTCACAGTATGCAAATTCGTATAAAGGTGATAAAGGAGAGCTACTTGTCTTCAAGTATATATGTTTGCCACGGGTAATAGTAGGGCGGCTGCTACATAACCCTGAAATGATTCCTACACATAGTTTATATGTTACTATGTGTAATATTTCATGCTCCCAACTCCTCCCATAATGTAGCTGTACCTTCATTTCTAAGTGTAAAGCCATGATTTCAGTTTGTTTATACACACACACACACACACACACACACACACATATATATATACAGAGAGAGAAAGAGGAAAAAAAGTGATCTATCAGCTTCTGCTATGCTTCCTAGAAGTCAGTCCTGCTCAGATCATGCAAAATTGCCCACGAGAAAAGTCTACCAGTGGATTCATTCCTTCAAGAGCATATCTTGATATTGTAATGGTTCAGTTGAAAGCTCAGATTTAAGTTGTCCTTTAAGATGTCAGTGTAACACTACTAGTGCCTTACAAGTTGGAATTTTTGCTGGAATGCAGACAATAGTTACCCTATAATATAATTATCAGCTCTCCTATATCTCAATCAATTTACATAATTTAAAATATAACATCTTATTAAAAACATCTAGATATACACAGATTAGGAAACGTTTACGACAAACAAATAAACAGACTAGAAATAAATTTTTAGATACTGGTATGTACAACTGTGTGATACAATAAATAATTTCTGTCATGCTCTATCTACACATATTGCTTAAAAGAAGAGTAGATCTGAGGGCAGTGGTGAGATGGAGTGCCTTATAGGGCTTTTTCTACATTAAAGTTGTGCAAATTAAAACAAGAGTAGAAGTACCACTGATCTGTGTTGGGGATGCATGGCTGGAAATAAAAGGACCCATATTACTGAGGTATTTACAGATACTGGCTAAAGAGCACTATATGGGCAAATGCAGAAAGGCCTTCTTTTCACATTTCACTTTCTTCCTACTTCTTGACAGCAAGCATGGCATCTACTTCTTCCTCCGGCTGTAAGGTATGCCACTGTGCAATGGGTCGCCTTGGATTGGCCAACATGTCTGACCAATGTCGCAGCTCTGCGCCAGTGCTGTTGTATCCCACAAAGACTTTGCCAATGGCATCATTCTTGCCAATCTTGTCATAGTCCAAAACAGTCACAACAACTTGCACTTTCTAAACAATGGGAAGAGAACAAAGCAAGGTTGAAAAATGCAAATCTATACATTTTGCTGCTGAGATTGTCAGAATCCATGAAGTACATTCCATGAAGTAAGTGGGCAGCAATATATGGGAAGCTGAGATCTGGTTTACCTTTGTTTTCCTGCAGCCTCTTAGGAATTATATTCTATACATTCCCTTCCAAAAATCTTATCATTGGCAGTTTTTGCAGTTATACACCTGAGCTTCTTCTTCTATTCTATTTCTCTCTAAACTGGATTTGGAAAAAATTGCAGTAATCTTGCCTGGGATGATGCCAATGCTTCAGTAATGAGATTGCACTGCCAAATCACTCTTCTAAAATATTTATGTACCAGCAATGTAAGTCTTATGGTTGGGCACAGAGACACATATTTTTAAATCAAAACTTTGTGTTTAAATCAACAGATACAATATGAATGGATGAATCTCCCCACAGTCTATTGCAACAATGCTTCAGCCTCAGTGACTTGGTGAAACTGTGCTGAAGCAGACGATGACCTTGCATTACATTTACATTACATTTATATATCAAACTGGAAACTTAAGCTACAATCCTGTAAATCGGGATGGACAGCCCGGCTTTTCTGCCAAGAGTTGCATTCACTTTGGAGTAATTTATAGAGGACTATATGCCAAAAGTGACTGGGATTTAAGGAACCAATAGAAGGCCACAGTGAAAGATGAATGACTATTTTTTCTCCTTCTAAGTTTTTTGGTATTTCCTTTTTGGTCTTCTGTTTTTATGTCATATTTCTTTTTTCCTCCCTTTGTCAGAAGTCAGAGCTGTTTACTTCCAGAGGGCTTTTGAAATGAGATAAAAGCACAGAACTAAGCTGAGTACTCTGGAACTGCCAACACCTTATTTATTTACTTATGTATCTTATTATAGGTACGGTATTAGTTATGCAGTTTGGAAGAATAACTTTATAACTATTACTGCGCTGCCTTTAAACAATTTTGATTTGATAAAATAATCAAATCATTTGAAAGAATGGAAATGATTTTCTCCTGAACTATTGGAATAAAATCACAGTTGGATTTTCTATTTAGCATCCATTGCTGCTGAATAAATATTCATTATTTGCTGCCTGTTTGAAGAATTGATGTTCCTAAGTAAGGTACTGTTCATTTTCATCCCATGCAGGACTACTGCATAGGTATTAATAAAGGTTCCTTTGAAGAGAAGAAGAATTTCAAGGTGAAGAAGGACTTGCAAGTTTGTTATTACCTGGATTTGCTCAAACGGTACTTCAAAGCTGAATGATTCATTGTAATAAGGATTCAGAGTGTTCTTCTTAATTGTTGTCTTCTTCTTCTTCAACCGTTTCCCATTCTGCATCAGATGAATTTTCACATAGGGATCTAAACAACAACAGAAAGAAGTTTTTCAGAAATTTAAAGCTCTATATGACATAGGGTCAGGCTACCTAAAGAACCATCTTTGTCCCATTGCGCCAGCCCTTCCCATCTCGTCAGGCAGAGAAGGTGTACTGATCACTTAAAGCACTTTGACCAGAAAGAGAGCCTTATCTGCTGTTGCTCCCGCCCCATGGAATATTCTCCCCCTAGAGGTGAGCTGGTCTTCCAGAAAGGGGGGGGAAACATGGCTCTGCAGCCTTCCTTGGGGAGCTTAGAGGAGCATGGGGCTGGCTAGCAACCTTCCCTTCACCTTTTAATTAATTTTAATTATTCTCGCTCTTTTTAGGATTTTTAACTTTTATATATTAGTTTTACGTTTTGAAATTTTATTGTATACTGTCCCAAGACCCTCTGTGAGGAAGATGGGTGGTTCCAAAATGTGATAAATAAAAAAAAAATAAAAAAAAAATGTTGGCTAATGCAGTGAATCTTTTAATGAGAATGAGATAGTGACAAAATAAACAGGAGGCAAGATTTAACGTAGTGCAGGACAAGTTCTAGGAAAGAATATATTTGCATAGACTTTCTCTGTGGAACTTTAACAAAGCTAGTTCTTGCTGTTTAATGATAGTGCACTATTGCTCCTTTGGTGTTGATGATCCTATTGATTATAAAAAGTTTTAAGTTTTAAAGTTTAAAGTTTAATGCTAGCATAGACTTATCCCATTTCATGCTATCATGTTCATTGTTCTCTTTCTGATAATCCGGTTTTGTTCCGAACAACAAAACGGAAAGAGAGTTCCTGTGGAAATGCACTTTTAAATATAAACCACAGTTTAATACATGACTATTTAGTACTTTGGCTTAGTATAGTCTGTGGCTGACATAAAAGACAGGAAAAAATAGCTATATTTAGGCAGACAAGTTTTAAGATTTATCTGTTCTTTATCTTAATGTAGTTTGGGATAGGAAATCTGGGGTACCAAAACTACATGGCCACTACAAGTGGAAGTAGCAAACGGAAGTTGAAGAACATCATACAGATGTAAGGCAGGCAGATTGCTGAGCAGGCAAAATTTGATCATGTTATACAGAAGGGCTGCAATAATTTCAAGGACCAGGCATCAGTACCATTTGTTCAGCAATGTCAATGTAACTTCAAATGCTTGCTGAATAAATAATTATTAAGTGAGATCTACCTGTACTTCCAAGTTTTTTTTAAAAAAGTCAACTCAAACTATTTTTCTGTACGATTACTAATAGCTGCCTAAATTTCAATTTAAGTAATAATAAATTACTAGTAGGTTTGTATTGACCAATGGCAGACAATGGTTTTCTAAGATATAAGCTATATTTCATTATTCTTGTTCTATTTCCTAATCCAGAAATCAAACATATTTATGAAAAGGATACCATATTAATTGCTTAAACAGAAATTGTAAATACATGGAAGGAGGGAGAGAGAGAAAAAAGGAGAGGAAGAAAGGAAGAGAGAGAGAGCGCATGGCTAACAAAGCTCCAAAAACAGGTCAAGTAGCTCTGGGGAGGTCAGTCATAAATTAGAACATTTGCTAAGCAACTGCCATTAAGCAAGGACCACTTGTATTTGGTTTGCCAGTGACATGGCCACCTGACCATGCCCACCCAGCAGATGGCCACCAAGCCACGCCCATCCAGTCATGTGACCACCAAGCCAGGCCCACAAATTAAGCCATGCCCATAGAACCGGTTGTTACAAAATTTGAATCCCAGCCCTGATTGTAATGAGCAGGACTTGGCTGTTATTGTAGCCGTATCCTTGGGAGAAGAAAAGCTAAGTGAAAAGTATTGCTTCTTCGGTTTCTCTAATTAACATTCAACACATGGAAGACTGGCAGAAGCTGAAAAATTCACAATTAGTACTGTGCATTACTGATTTTACAAGACTATCTCAAGGGAGGACTAATAGAGAAGCTTTTAAAAGCAGTTCGGCTGACATGCTTTGTTTTACTGCCATTTAATGCCAAACGATGTCAGTTCATTACTTAGAGGCAAACAAAGGACTTGTGTCTCAATTGAAATGAAAGCTGAGGTATATACAGTAATCTTGATCTCAGAACCGCCACTGCTCATTTACAAAATGCATCTCCAATATCCATAGCAAGTGGCTTTGTGGACAAGAAAGATTTAATTTAGCAAATAATGAACAAACTTCTTGATGTGACAGGCAAGTGAAAAATGAAATATTTTGTAGGCAGTAGAACAGCTACATGAATTATGCATCAGAAGCATCAAATGTACATGGGTAAGGTAGAGTCTGCATCAGGAAAGAATTAAGTATTCCTTCAAACAAAAGCTTGAGTGACAGAGCTTTTAATGTGAAAAGTAAACTGTAGGTACTATATGTTTTTACATTCTCTCCTTCAGAAAAAGAAAAGGCTATTTTCATGAATAGTTACATGGGCAGAATACTAAAGAAAGACAGTGAAAGTGAATGACAAGGCTAGGACGCAATGATTATAGATTGAATATAGAGATAGTGATCTTTAATAAAGGTGTGCAAGTCCTGTGGGCTGATATACATAGTTCAAATAATATACTGAAGTACATCATCCAGCTCCTATTTGTTTGTATTTTGAGGGAAAGAAGTAGAGAGAGAGGGATTGATACTCATGAATCTACCATCTTATTTCATTATAAAAAGAATTGCTTTGCAGATTAGTATCTTTGCAATATAGTGAACAAACACTGAAAAAGTAGTTTAATAAAAAGCTCTATCTTACAATTTTCTTGCCTGGTTGTATAAAATCCTTAGGGATGAGGGCTCAACTATGTACTATCTTAACGGCATAATTCTGCATTCAGCTGAATACAAAATAAGCCTTGCAGATTTCCAGGACAGGCTTCCAAATTCAGAAAGTGCTCCTAGTATAAGGGCTTAATCTTTGGTATTCCACTGCAGTCCCCACCCAGTTCCAAACTACTATTGACCTCATCCCCTTCCTAAGAGGCCCGTAAGGGGCGTGCATAAGTGCACCAATCGTGCCTACCGCCCCTGTCCTATTGTTTCTTTTTATTTTTCTTATAAGTATCTATCTCATGTATTCAAAACTATGTTTATTCTTATACCTGTATCTTGTAAGCGATTGACAAATCAAATAAATACTAAAAAATACCAAAAACTCACATTATAATCTCCTTCACTTTCTTTCTCTTGTTATGCATACTGGAAATCTATCTGCATATAAAAACTGAAGATCATCTGTCATCTGATATGGGCCTGAAAATTAGGGTGTGGGGAGAAGGTATGTACTTTGATCATTACAACAGAGTTGTATGCAAAAAACATATTTCTGATAGAACTTGCTTATCCAATTTACTTTAAACTACCATTCCTAAGAACTATCTTCATATTTGAACTGAACATCTGTAGAGAAGAGTAGGCTAACACTGGGGAGGAGGTGATAGTAGTGGAATAAAATGCACCATCAGTTTAGAGTGCTTGCATTGCCATAAGAAATCCAAGTCTAGCCCCCCACACCTTGAATTCCAGTGACTCTTACCTATCACCAATTTAGTGTTAATTATTAGTTGACCAGATTTTTGTGCACAAGTTTCAATAATTTTTTATAGTGCAACCAACATGAATGATCCGGATTCTTTATGCCTGATAGCATTCTTCTTTCCTGTAAGAATCAGCTTCTTAATAATACCAGTCATAAGATACTAAGAACTAATCCCATTTTCTCCATCTTACCAAATATTCCTTTCAAGTAAGAAAAATGATGAAATAAGTAATGCAAAACATGGGAGAATTACAAATAGAAGGCATCATATATTTCATTTAAAATTACACGAGTGAGAAACTCTGATTCTGCAATAAGTCTTTGTTTGAGTTAAATTGCAGCAATTTATAGGGAAACAAAGGGAAATAAAGAGAGATCCATAAATACAGAATTTTATGTTTATATCATGAGATCACAAAAGAACACTGAAGCTTGAAGAAAAAGCATGTATCTCTAAACATTCTTAATTGGATTCAGAGAAGAAAAAGCATATGCTCTCTTTTAAAATAGATCTGGCTACTGATTCCCTTCTAATGGCCATGCATGGCTGGGGAAAGATTGGGCAGCTGACAAATGACCAGTCTGTAAATTGGACACAGCCATTATGACTGGCATTAGTAATGTTCAGTTACACTTTGAAAACAACAGCTTTGAGAGTGAAATTGTCTGTCATACTTTTCCATCCTGCAAGTCAAACCTTGAAGAGAAATGTTGTTGTAGAAGGGCTGGCTGGCATCATGTGTCCTTACTGACCAGTAGGACCAATAGGGTGACATATTTACAGCCTTCAGCTGTATCAGACTGTTCAAATGCTCCCATAAGGAATTAAAAGACAAACATCCTTCAAGGCCAGCAGCCAACCTCTCTCTTATGAGAACATTATTCAGGACGTGACTTTCAAAGTAGGGATAATTTGCCTTAAGAAATTTTTTCCCCTGTGTTGAGAATAGATAATGAAGGCATTAGAAATAACCCTTAATGAGATTAGAAAAATCACATACATGATTGACCAAAATCAATATTTGTTACATAAAAGGAAAGCTATGGTGGAAAGGAACTGAATTTCTTCAGGAAATGAAAAATGGGAGACACCATTTCCAAGAAATGGTGCAACAACTTGGGTTATATCAATGTTGTACTTCACAGCACTCTATCTTTAGGTTTCTATGACAACAATGGTCAGAGAAGATCCTGGAGATGAAATCCAGGCTTTATTGCCATTAGGAACAGGAGGGCCCACAAATACTACAAAACTGGTTAAGGAAAGCAACATTGCTAGCTAGCAAAGAGAAGCCATAACTGAATGTTGAACCTCCCATATTCAGAGCAATGCATTTCCTGTTTATTATTTATTCTGAGACTCTTTACCCATTATCCTTAGAACCTACTACTTTTACTTTTATTCTTCTTTTGTTTCTGTCAGAGGCATATAAGCACATGTTGCTTTCATAATCTGAG